TCATCAAACAATACCCTGATTAATAATTAGGCCATAAACCTTAATCGGGGTCCCAACTCATCATCCTCAACCTTTAGGGTAAAAGACTATTTTACCTTTTTCCTTATTGGGCCCAACTAGCTTTGCGCAATAACCCTATACTGGCCCAAGTCCTATAAATGGGCCAACTCACAACCTAAGGTCCAATTATGGCCCAATAGATACAAAGCCCCAAAATCCAGCTAAGGCCCAAAGCTCAAAAGAAGTCCAAGTCCAAAGGGGCCCAAAACCAATAAAACCCCACTGCTTGGTGTACACCCTGCATACCCTATACGTACGCCCTGTGTACTCTACGTTGACCAGGAAGTGGGCTGTTGACCCAGTACACGCAGCGTATGAAGGAGTATTCACGACGTACTGGCCAGAGTCCAAAAGGCTAATCAATGGTCTTAATCCCTTAAGACCTTAATGTCCAAACCTCAGATCTACATCATTTTAAGGTCTTAACACGTAAAGTTGGAAAATTTATAGTTTTGCATGACTTAATGGGACCCAATACTCGTTTTTGACCATTAAGACCCATAATAAGAGCCCTAACTCATGCATGGTCCAAAATAACACATCAAGATAGCATTTTTATGCACAAGGAACATCAGAAATGCTAAGATCTACCATCCTTAGCTTCTGGAGTAGCTCATACTCCTAAGATTCACTTAAGGGACTCTAAAATGCACAAAATCAAGCCCTAAACTAGATCTATCATAAAGAACCATCAAGTTAAGAGCTTTATACCTCCAAAAGCTTCAACTACACCAATGCAACTTCCAAGAGCTCTTCTTCCTTCAAGATCACCAAAAACACCCACAAAGGTCACTTCCAAGCTCAAAACACTCCAAAATGAAATTAGGGTTTCATTCTTAGGGTTTGGAGAGATGGAGGCTAGTCATAAGTAGGTCCAATAGAAACTTAAGGTGTTTAAATAGGGCTCAAATCCTAAAAATTAGGGTTTTCCCAGGTGGCCATACGCCCCACGTACTCCACGATCAGCTTCTTGACCCAGTACACCCAGCGTACTCCTAGCGTACACCCAGTGTACTGGCCAGGGACCCAATTGCATAAGATTTTAAGTTTAAGGGCAAAAAGGGAAATACCTGAAATGCGAATGTTATAGCGATGTGTCTCCAAGTTTATATATATGTATTTTTTCATTTGTTGTGCGTTTTTCTGGTGAGAGCTATGTGCGGTTACATTGTGATGTGTAGTTTACGAAAGCACGTACTAACGTTGATGTACATGAAATCGATACCATACCGAGGTATAATATTTCGTTTTGTTATTTACAATATCGTGATTTTAAAATGAGGGTCAGGGCCCGAGTTGGATTGTCGGGTTTATAATACGGTGTTATTATAGACTCAACAACACATTGGATAGTTGAATTCTATGATGAGAATTCTTAACTCGCTTAATGAGGGTTATAAACCCTAAGTTACGAGATAACCAGAAGTGAGCGGTCGAGTTAATGGTTTATGGGGGGTTAAGCTGTTTGATAGTTAAATTACGGAACTCGAAGATTCGTGTAACAAATGGTTATTGAATTTGGTTAATAGTCGAATAGAAGAACACTATAGCAGGTGTGACAGTAAATTTGTACAAGTTCTAAGGAACTTGGTATATTACCTAACTAGGTTTGTACGAACGGTAGACCGAAAATCAACACCAAACATGAGGCCGAGCTAGCAGTTAGTCTTCACTAACTAGCCTAATGAGTACATGTGGATTTTCTGGGTATATAGAAAGATAAATGTTTTACTTGAAATATGGGAATATTTCACCATGTGTGAAGAAGCTTGATTAAATGAAAATGTTTTATTGTTAAAAGATTTTAGAATATAAATCCCTGCCTTCCTTGGTTAAGGGAAATGGGTATTGTTGGCTACTTAATAAACTGTTAGACTGTATATTATATAATTGGGCGATCAGAGCTCTAGATAAGCTTAACAACCACATAATTTGTTATTGATGAGTTTGGCAAAGGCCTATATGTGAATTGTATTATGAAATCTATAGAGAGTTGTTTAGGGAACAAAGCTTACCCGTGTATTTGTATTGAAAGCTTAGGATGTCTTCAATGTAGTTGATAATAAATCGTACTCCAAGGGTAAGTACCCATAGTATAAATAAGCTCCATAATTAATATGAACTTCCGGGAAAATTATTGGAACCAGGATCTGTATGAACATATGTATGTATAAGAAGCTTGATAAAAAGCTATGTATGAAAAAGGCATTGGATGCCTCCTATCTGATTAATGATATAATGTATTCTACAAATGAGTACTAGGCAGTTGATGATGAATATTGTTTGCAACATGTGACATACACATGTGTCACAATTGTTTGGAGTCCCGTGATAGGTGATAACGGCCACACATGTTGGAGCCCCGTAACAGACGATAACGATCACACATGTTAGAGCCCCATGACAGGCGTAACAATCACATATATTAGGACCTTGGCGATAACGGTCACACATGCTGGATCTCGTAACAACAAGTGTATCACATTAAAGCGGCAGGTAGTTTGTTGGTCAGGGATTATAGTATCTCGTATGTGCTAGGTTCTTGTATGCTAGGACTTGCATACTAAAATCACTGTGTACAGAACAAATGAAAGTATTTAAAAATGATTTAAAGTTTGAGGTGAAACCCATGTAACTCACGAGTCTTTGGACTTTAGTAGTTTGTACTTTGTACTCAGGTATAGAAGTAGATGAGAGGAGCGTGCATAATGAAGATGATGAAAGGAAACATAGAAGGTTGTAGAATCATTTTCTTTTTTACTATGGTCGTTGGTATTGGTTTGTAACACCGAATGTTATAAACCCTGATGATTATTTGAAAGTTTTTGTTAAACCCTATTTTTATTGATAATATATGGTGTTTTAAAAGTACGGCGTTACAGTTATAATTGTTTCCATCATATATAACATGAAACTCATGAACATGACTAATCATCAAAACGAAATTTTTTCCCCTCCAAGAGTTTGGATCTTGATGTATGGTTAGGGTCTTTCGGAAGAATCAAACAAGATAAAGTGTATGGGCATGTCCAAACCATCCAAGTAGAAGTCTGATTTTATCTTATCTACTTCATAAACCGATAAAACCTATGTTGAGCAAACAAGTGATTTAAATCCATGCTTCATGCTCCATAATATTATAACAAATGGCAATAAGGACAACAACATATTCGCCTATTAAAAGTTGATGGAGGATTTACGGAGACAATAGTTGTTACACACTTGAAACTATTTCTACGGTTGGATGTTGTATTGCTTACACAAATGGGAGTTTGTTGGAATTATATGCAATGAAATAACAATTTAACGATATTATTGTTTATGTGAAAGACTATGTGGTCACACGCTAACAGCCTTAAAAGATCCATAGTAACTAATAAATATTTATTTGATAAATTTTATTATTTATCAATTTAAAATAAATAAAGAAAATAATGTAGTTTTTATTTTATTTATTTATGAGATGAAAGAATTAAATAAAGTAATTTATTTAATAATTAATAAAAAATTTATTGCTAATTCCATTTTAGTCATTAGCTTGTTTTGTTGCTGGGCCATTAAAAGACTTAGTAAGTCTTGTCCAACAAGTTAAACTTAGAACTTAGAAGGAAGGATTTAGGGTAATCAAATAATTAAGCAACAATGGTCAAATCATAATCTTTCCCCGCCGTTGACCAAACATTCGGTCTCGTCCCCTCTCTCTATGTTGCTCGACACATCCAAGGAGCAATGAGGAAAGGAAGGAGTCATTGATCAAGTTGAAATCTATTAGTCAGTTAGATTGGTTTATGTTGATACATCATAGGTATAATTTGCATAGATCGTGACCTCCTATCGTATCAAGGGCACATGCTTTTGAACACTCTATGGTTGATTAAGTTGGTAAAAACATGTCTAATTTCATAATTTGTATCCATGGTTCGAAGTTGATGAAAATTTTGAGTTGCTACTTCCACATGCAAACAATTTTAACTGTTATATTGATTGCATCAAACCCTAACCGGATATTGTTAATAAACTACTTTGTAATATATGTTTATTAGAATCAAAATGTGGTGTTTATTTTATAAACTTTGTTTAGAGATTGTTCAAGAATTGTTAATATTTGTAAAATATTGCCATTAGCACCTCCCCTATGTGCACTTTCAATATGTGAAGCACGTAAAGAAATATGCCATCGTGCAAAGCAATGTGAGACAACTGTCCCTAGGATAACACTCTAACATCACAAACAAACAAAATCACACAAGGGATATCCATGACTTTTGACATTGTGAGGGATGTGCATGTCATTTCACTAATGTTCACATGGTGCAAAATAGTTGTGACAATTTACCATTATCGTTAAAAGCCATAGCTCCATTTTTTTATGGATAGATGAAGATAATGGTCAAACAACATCCTAACACGTATAAAGACTCAAACATCTATCAATGCGTAACATCTAAAATATCATTAATAAACCCATAACAACAATAAAACCTCCATTCCTATCTTTCAATTTCTTTTAACCATGTCTAAAGAGGTTTTAAAAGCATGAAAACTCATATACATTGTGAATTTGACTAAACTAGATGCTACAATAAGTTTATAAATCTTCATAAACAATATCCTAACTCATATAAAGACTCAAATATCTATCAACGCATTTCAAGTCCCCAATAAACACCTTCTCTTCAAAATATATGCGCAAAATAGCAACCAGCTATCAACTTCAAGGAAATTGTAACTTAACTCAATGTATAAGTTTCAATACAATAATTACAAGTCTCCAATGAATGATCACCCTGAGATTCATAGTTATACTCGAACTCAATATCTTCACAAAGAAGAACAAATGTATAAGTTTCGAGACATAAAGTACAAGTAATTAATGCATGAGAATTCGGGAATTATTGCTTTGGAAAAAGATTTAAAAAAAAAAAAGCACTCGAAATGGCTCAAAGAGCAGCAAGCATATCCTGGGCACTACTGGAAGTAAAAGCACCTCCTTCTTCAAGATTCAGAACCTTCACAACACCATCTTCAACAAGCATCGCATACCTTCTTGACCTAACCCCTAATCCAATCGGATTATCGCTCAGATCCAATTCACACCCAATTGCTTTAGTGAAATCGCCATTCCCATCGCTCAGTATCAACACTTCATCGCCGATTTTCAGATCGGATTTCCATGCCTTCAACACAAACGCGTCGTTGACGGAGATGCAAGCGATTGTATTGACGCCTTTCGCTTTGAGCTCACTGGATTTCTCGACGAACCCAGGGAGGTGTTTCTGGGAACAAGTCGGAGTGAAGGCTCCAGGGACGGCGAAAAGGATGGTTTTTTTGGATTTTGTGAGGTCGGAGATGGAGGTGGTTTGGAGTTCGCCGTCGGAGTCGAAGTAGGATAAGGTGGATTCTGGGAGCTTGTCTCCGACGGAGATAATGGCGGTGATAGTGGAGGTTTTGATGGAGTGATGGTGGAGGAGACGGGAGCGAAGGTTTCTAATGGGATTGACAGAGTAAGATGAAGAGGCGAGTGGGAGGTAGTTGTGGTGGTGTTTGGTGGCGCAGGAGAATGCAGAGAAGGTCAATGAAGTTGCTGCGGCTGCCATTTTTGCAGGTGGAGAGCGTAGAGTGTGTTAGTTTTTAGGGGATATGTGGTGATAACATGGATGTTAATTTGGAGTGTAATGTAAAATGGACGGAGGAAATTATGGCATAGCTGCAACCAAATTTGTTAAAGGTTACAGGGTCTAAAATGTTGGTGAATCAGAGGTAGGCTGTCAATCGGGTTGTGTTGGTTTTTTGTTGGTTGGTTGACGGGTCAGAAAACATAAACTAAACCCAACTCATATAATATAATATATGGGTTGGCGGATTGACGGGTCATGGGTTGGTGGGTTGGAAACATCAATCCAACCCAACTCATATAATCCGTTTAAGTATATGGGTTCGCAGGTTCACAAGTTAATGGGTCGAACCCAATCCATATAAACCGTTTAATAAATAAAAAATGTATTTTAAAAAATAAGGTTTTTTCAAGGTAAAATCACAAAATGATTAAAGTAATTAACATCAAAAAAGAGGTTTTCAATATAAATTCATAAAGTCATTAACATCCAAATAAAATTGAAAAATAAAAATTTTCATACAAAGTGGATACGTTCTTCGTTCGTAACTCGTGAGTATCTAAAAATGACGACATGTGTTTTTTTTCTTTTTGATTAGGAAATCACAAACAGATTAGCCACATTATAATACGAAAGGAATAGAATGAATTGAAGTATCAGCCACATTAGATTAGCCCCATATATATATATATATATATATATATATATATATATATGTATATATATATATATATATATATATATATATATATATATATACCAAAACTCGTATATTTTTAAGTTGGGTCAGTGTCGGGTTACGGGTTTGATCGAGAGTTGTCACCCCTAATCGCAAACGCTCAAATAAGGACGATAAACTGATTTTAGATTAATGAAATTGTAGAAGAAGACAACATCCGTCAGTTAAACTTGAATTAGGAAATGGTTTGTCTTGGTTAGGATTGATTTTAAAGAGTACAATTTCTTGAATGTTTTAAAAGATTGGAGAAAATAATTTTGACAAAGAGTAAATTATGCGGATGGTCCCTATAGTTTGGGGTAATTTGCGTGTTTGATCCATAACTTATTTTTTTAACTCGAGCCATCCTTATAGTATGCTTTTATTGCGTCGTTGGTCCTTGAAAGATATAAAATACTATTTTACCCTTACTTATTTTCTTTTTACATTTTTTATTTCTTAAATAATTGTATATTATTACAAAAATCTGATGCGTCCCACTTCTAACCTTTCAGCCATTTTATCTCATCTGATACCCTCTTCCCCAACGTTCAAAGAAATTATCCTGGCCGACATCACCTTCACCTTCTCGGCTTCTCCGATGCTACATATCCTCACTGGGTGATCGAGTCATTCAAATCAGTGAAAGTTGAAAGCTTCGACTAAACAAACCCCTTGCATCTTCAAGCATGGTATCCTCACCCCAACTTGTTCCCTCCCCTCCTCGCTTCTTCTTCCTTAGCTTCTATCAACTCCGGCGAATCTAAAAACTTGAAACCATTCCACTTACCTCTGGCAAGCACCACTTTCCAATCAAATTAAAAAGTATCCAAAAACAAAATCGCTAGAAGAAAACAAAAAATCAATCAAATTGAAATTACAAATGGAGCAGACTGTAGACTGGAGAAGAAAACATCAAAATCAATCAAATTATAAAAGTTCTTATTAAGATCTAATTTAGGGTTAGAATAAGAGACGTAGAAGAGAGGCAGAGTCTGACATCACACACCAACTTCAATTCTCCCTTCCTCCTTCATCAGCCTTTCACGCCTTCCACAGATTTCGAGACCGTCTCTCTTCTCCGGAAAATTATACAACAAACAAGCTATCAACATGAAAGTTGTAGTTCCATTATAATCCCGAATGTTAAGACTACCAATTTATATCCCTAATTTTAGAAGTAACCATAATATTTATGCAATTGAGCATTTCAATCGATTCCCTAAATTCTCATAAACAATTCTTGTAGTTTCGACCCCACGACTTGTTGATTCTCCTTCTCTTTTTTCCTCTTGCTCCATCATCATCAAACCTGCAAAGCAAAGAGATCTAATAGAAGGAGGTGCATGTTCAGGGGATAAGAGGGGAACGAGAGGTGGAAGAGACCGTACCAGGAGGTGTACGATGGGTGTACTAAGGGAATACTAAGTACGCTGGGCGTACCAAGAGTACGATGGGCATACGCAATCAGTGCCCAAACCCTATTTTCATGGTTTGAGCCCTATTTAAGCTCCTTAACTCCCCCAAAACCATTCCATTCTCATCCTCCACATCTCCAACACCGTTTCCATGAAACCCTAACCCTAGTTGAGCCTTGTGAGCTAAAAGAATGTGTTTTTGAGTGCTTTGGAGTGAGTATGCATGGTGCGCCTTGGAGAAGAAGGAACTTCTTGGGGAAGTGTTGGTTGCATTGGAGCTTGTAGATCTAGACTTTGTTCACCTTGATCTATCTTCTAGAGGTATAAAGTTTGAATCTTGTTGATGCATTTGTTAGATCTAGCTAGTTTTGGGTGTTATGAGCTTTTTGTCATTTTAATGCATAAAGTTTAGATCTTGAAAGTTTGTGACCTTGTTATGGATAAAGTTGGAAGCTTTATCCATCTAAAAATCATTGTAATTCAGATCTGAAGGTTGGAGACACGGACTTAATGGATTAAGTTGAAACAGATGCACTTTTGGTCCCATTTGATGCTTAAAGGCTACATCTTGGTGGATTGGACCATTCTAATGGATAAAGTTGGAAACTTTATCCATTATGGAGCTTTTAGGATCCATAAAAATGTGATCTTGATCCTTCTATACCTTCCATGGAAGTGTCATGATGTTTTAATGGATTAGTAAGTTAAGGTTTTAGCTTTTGGACCTTTTATAGACATGGAAAGTCATAAAGGTGGAAACTTTAGACTTAGAATGATGTTGTGGGACTAGATGTAAGTATTGGATGAAATGACGTAAGAGATTAAGCACTTAATGGAAAAGTGTCATTTGGTCGAGTACGTCGGGCGTACCTTTGAGTACGTTGTGCGTACTCGTATGGGGTCCTGATTCTATATGGTGAGTACGCCATGCGTACGAGCTGAGTACACTGGGCGTACTCAGCCTAAAGTTTGACTTGTTGACTTTGACTTCTGTTGACTGTTGAATTTTTTACCAAGTTTGACATTGGGTCAAACTTGAGGATTTGGGGCTATTAATAAAGATTTTATCTGGTTCTGCTATTAGTGGATTTTAAGGTGCAAGCAGTGCAGAGAAGGGATCATGTCGTAGTGTCTCAGGGTTCTTCGATTCAGGTGAGTCTTCTCCCGGTGCTCGTGAGTCAAAGGCACCAATGTCGGCTCACTAAATTATGTATGTAGGCTGCTAGTTGTCTTTGTGACTCTCGTATGTTTGTATGTGCCTGTGTGGTAGAATAGTTGTATTTGTGATGACCAGCTGGGTCTAGCTGTTATTATTGTGTTATGTTGTTTATATGTGATTGAGACAGCTGATAGTCTCTAGGGTTGCTGATAACCCATCGGGCGTGCTGTTAGCCACTAGGACTGCTAATAGTCCCCAGGTTTGCTCATAATCCATAGTTGTCTATTTGTGATGTGTTGTATGTGGTATTTTGGGGAACTCACTAAGCTTTGTGCTTACGATTTGTGGTTTATATGTTTCAGGTTCTCTTATATTAAAGGAGGGGCACGACTCGATTGCATCGCTTCAATGGGGGACTTGTGTACTTGATAACTTTTAATGATACTCTGATAAATGTTTTTAGATCTTGTAATTGTGAATTAAATAAATAATTAAAGTTTTAAATCGAAAAATTTGGGTTGAAATTTGGGGTGTTACACATAACCAGAGTAAAAGGCCATTTTACCCTTTTCCTTACATGGCCCAAAACCAAGGCCCAACTCAACCACTCGAAAGGCTCAAATCCTAAATGGCAACCTAAAGCCCAATTATGGCCCAATCTTCCAAATTGGGCCCAAAACCCTTCATGGGCCTAAATCCAAGGAAGCCTAATATACTAGTCAAAAGCCCAAATCAGAAGTCTAACAAGGCCCAAACTTAGAAAGCCCATACCGAGAATGCGAAGCCCAAATGTCCATCTATTGAGTACGAAGGGCGTACTCAGCTTGTACGCCCAACATATGCATCAGGCTCCCAAACTACTTCATTAAGCACTTAAATAGTTAATACCATTTTTCAAACTCTCAGATCTGGTTTTTAACGGTGACTTATCACGTAAAGTTGGCAACTTTACACTCACGCATGGCTTAATGGGACTCAAAGCTCAAAAAGGAGCTTAAAAAAGATCATAATGCTTGCATGGACCAATATCCTCCATAAATATTGCATTTTTATGAATATGGGGCCTTAATGGAGCGAAGATCTAGCATTCATTGCTTCTGGAGTAGATCAAAAGCTCAACTTTAACTCAAGAGACTCAAATGTGCACAAATAACACCATAAAGTAGATCTAGCACAAATGGACATCAAGGTGAGAACTTTTTACTTCAAAATGCTTACAGATGTGAAGGTAACTCTGGATCTACAAGCTAAAGTTATTCCTCCAAGTTCTGCTCTTCTTCTTCTTCACCACAAAACACCAACAAACACACTTTCAAGCTCAAATCTCACCAAATGCACTTAGGGTTTCGTTTTCAGGGTAAAGGGAGATGGAGGTTGATTAAAAATGTCCAAGAGGTGCTATAATGAGGTTTAAATAGGGTGCAAACCCTAAAAATTAGGGTTTGTCCCTGGACCAAGTACTCCATGCGTACTCCACGTATGCCCCGCATACGTGGGTGAAACCGCGATTAGGAATGGGCTAGTATGCTAAGTGTACTCATAGAGTACGCCCCACGTACTAGCTAGGGACCAAGATGTTAACAATTTTCATTAAAGGAGCTAAAAGGAAACTTAACAAAACTCGAATGTTACACGTTGACTTTCTCGTCGAAGCAAAGATTCCATCTACGAGAAGCTTGTTTCATTC